ATGTTTTGATTGCATTCATCTGTAAACCTGTTATTGTTTTATTTTTTAAATTTCTTGCCTCACATCTTAGGATGGTGATTCCTCAGGTCACTGTACCCTTGAGGCAGGTAGCAGATTGCATTAATTAGAAGGCACTGTATTAACAATTAGAAAACAATTCTCTTTTCCAGTCTATGTATAACCTGTGAGATATTCTGTAAGATTCGTAATATAGGATATTTAAATTAACTGGGAAATACATAGTTAAATACCTAAGTTCAAAGTAAACTTTGAACACTGCTGCACCTCAGGGGAATGTGTGGTAAAGTCTATGTGTCCTCCTTGCTTCCATCCACAAAAAGTGATTGTTTTTTTTCCTTTAGTCTGAGGGTTTATAGAGAATGATTTTTCTTTCCTTTTTCTTCTTTTTTTTTTTTCCCCCTAAAGATGGCAGTAATAGTGTCTGAAAATCCTAGGGAACATAAATTTTCCTGATACATTATATTGCCAAAAAATCGAAGGTACAGTAAAATTTGGGGATCATAATAGGTGCTGTTAAGCTCAAGTGAGAAGATGACACACATTTGATATCTGACATGCACATTTGTCTTTTTTTATTTGTTTTCTAGATAGTGTAAACTGTGACCAAAATAGACCCTAAGATTCTATATTAAAACATTTTTTTAATACTGCTAATCAGAATAACAGGTATATAGAAATGATTTTTAGGTTAGAGCCAAAGTGGAATTATATTAGGGATGACACTGATCTATATTAAGGAAATAAAATGAAACACAGCGGTTAGTTGTAGCTAACTAATGTCAGGCAGTTGGTACAGGGAAGAAGGACTATCTCACTGATTCCATTCAGATTATAAAACATGAGGAACAGCAAAGTATGCTCAACAGATGTGGAATCCGATGAGAATTTTAAAATTTAAAGCTCAGTTTTAAATGGGTTTGTAAAGGATAACACTTTTTAAAAAAGGTGTTATTTCATTTACATCCAAGAGTTTCTCAGTAAACTGTTTCTCTGTAAGCACCAATTCTACATTGACATAGAATCACATACTAGTTTGAGTTGGGAGGATCCTCTGAGGTTTGCATGGTCCCACCCTCTGCTCAGGAAGGCCACTTGCATCAGGTGGCTCAGGGATTGCCTAGGTGAATTTGAGTTCCTCCAAGGATGGAGATTTCACACCTTTTTGGGCTAACTCTTCCAGTGTTCGGCTAGTCTTGTGAAATTCTCTTCCTGATCTAATTGGAATTTCCCACATTGCAGCTTGTTCCCACTGCTTCTCATACTTGCAGTAAGCACTTCCAAGAAGAGTCAATCTTTGTCCTCTCTATACCCCGCTCTTAGGAAATTGAACTCCACAGTAAGATTTTTACTTTAGTCTCTTCCTAAGACTGATCCACCCTGCTTCTCTGACTTTCATCCCATGTCATGCCAAAAGATACAATATAGTCACCTACAGCAATGTAGTTCTGTGGCACTCACAGCTGAGGAAGCTCCTCTGCTTAGCTTAGGAAGTCTAGTTGACTTCATAGATGAAGTCACTCCACTCCCACCAACTTGTGAACTGTGATACCATGTTGGGCTTTTGGTACTTCTGAGTTCTTGATAGCTCTTGACCTTTCATGCAGAAATGCTTACTGTTCTTGTCTGTAGTGACAGAAAGCAGTTAGGTAGAAAGTAACTGTGCAGAAATTATATGTTCTTTTTATTTCTACTTGATTTTCTTCAAAGGGTCATGAATAAGTTACTAAAATAAATGAACCTCAAAATAGTGTTAGTCTTAACAGCTTAACGTATTTTAAGAATTATGTCATGACATTCTTTTTAGAATTGGGTGTTGTCCTGAGCTGCTAATAATAAAATGTTTTAGCAATGAATAAAAATGGATTCTATTTTAATCAGTGCGAATATTCCAGGGTGCATAAGCTCCTCTGAAAACTCACAGGATCAAATTCTGCCCTTGAAGTCAAGTGAAAGGTTTGCAAACAGGTCAGAAGACAGGCTTTGGTCCACAGTGTTTTACTTGGCTTTCATTCTGTTTTTTATAGTCCAGGTTGAGGAATTTGGAAGGGAAAATACTGTGGGAGAAAAATCTTGTTTAAAGATATGCTGGATTCCAGAGAATATTTTAAAACACGGAAATATTTTTCTTAGTCTGTTGTGCCAGTAACTACTCAGTTCTGTGTGTAAGGGAAGAAAAAGCGATCAGTGTTTTAAAGAAACAGACCAGTGCAAGTGATCGTCATGCCTTAAAAATAAGCTATACATTCTGTTTAGACTTCAGGGTGTAGGACTGGGAGTATGAGAGAGTTTGAATCAGTAGTGGTGGTAACAGAAGTTGGTGCTCTTTCTCTCTGTACCTTTATGTTACACATCTGTCCTTCTTTGAGGCTTAAATGCATCAAGACTGCAGAGGAAAGTTATTCAAACAGTTGCTTAGAAATTTTTGCATACATTTTTAATTGGTTTCCAAAGCCTTTGTGTGGAATCTTTGATAGAAGTCTTTCAACTTTATAGGTGTGCTTCTGTGGTTCTCTAGCTGTTACCCTTAGGTTTCAGTCTGCCTTGGCCTCTGCTCTCACCCAGCAGGTTGTGGTTCGACCTTTCAGGCGGTGCTCGGCCCGGGGCTCATGCGATTGACCTGTTGGGCAGGTAGGCTGGGCCAGCACAGTAGTAGGCTTTCTTTTTTGAGCTCTTCCTAGCAAGTGAGATCAAGTAGCTCATGGCATGTAGTTCAACTTTAACTGTTATTTTTTGGTCCTCTACTTGATGTCTTGCATTATATATACATTACATTTATAACACTCAGGAATTACAGGATGTCAGCATCACAGGCTCCTGTGACTGTGCACATGGTGAAAACTGTCTTGTAATAAAAGAGAAACACACCTTTTTACATGCTTTCCTTTCCTCATTCAGTCTGCAGGAAGGATTGAGGAGTAGTCATACGGTACGTTTTACCCTTTTGAGTGTGTGATGTTGCAGTGAAGGTAGTATTTCTTTCTTAATGGAGTTTGTGTGGTACTACTGTTAACAATTCCTAACATCTTATTTCATAAGATTCCATCTTAAGATACTGTTTTTTCAATATCTTTTGTGGGGTGGCAGAGATTACCACATACTCTATCTTATGGTTGGAGGATTGAAGCACAGAAATAAAAGCAAATGTTGTCTGAGGTAACAGCAAACTTTGTGCGCCTGCACTGAGAAATTTAGAACACAGTGTTGTTTATAGTATTTGTTTTCAGAGCTGTATTCCTTTTCTTCTCTTGAAACTGGAAGTATTTATGACTTCTAAATTTGACTCTTGGTTTTCAGAATTCAGAAGTGAAGAGCACACAGTGTCCACCTGTGAAAAATTTGGTTTGTAGGATTTGCTTTACAAGAGAACTCTGTTTCTGATGTGGAAATACAGTCGGTTTCTTTATGGTGATTTTTAAACTTTCTCAACCAGAAAACTATTTTGCATGTATCAGCATTCTGCCTTTTCTCCAGATGTCTTCCACTATACTGAAAAATTGCTTTTTTTCTTTTATTAACAGTTCTAATTCAATTTAATTTTGTATTACAGCTTTCCTTTTTATCAAATAGGACCAGAGGTGTCTTAGAGTTTGCAGAAGGAATCTCAATTACAGTTAAATGCGCAGACTTCATCCTAACTTTTTTTATACTGTTTTTGCAATTATATGGTAACAGTAACTTTAATTCAGAGGATTTTTTTTTTTAATGTTGGGGAAAAAAAAAACCACCAAAACCCACCAACAATCATTTAAAACTATGCTGATGCTAATTTAGAGAGGGGCAAAGAAGTACATTTTGCCAGTATGCAATGTGAAAGGAACACTATGCCTTAGAATTGGCTCTAATTTCCCAGTTTTGCTAAATTCCCAGAGAAAATGCTTTTATGGAATAGATGGTATTATTTATTTAATGCTACACCTTGACTTTTGTGCCCCAAATTACTTAATGATCTGTGCTGATACGGAACATTGACTTCACTGCTGTCCTTGAAGTTTGGGATGTACCATACCTACCCACGCCATGGTTGTTACATGCATAGTCAGCCTGTCAGGGCTGTAACGGATAGCCAGAATCCCATGAGGGTAGTCTCTTCATCCTGTTTAGACTATAAACTAAGAAGATACATGTATATGAATTTTCAGATGTGTATATAGGCAAGTTTTCACAGGAAAGTACTTAAAGTGGCCTTTCTCTACTACCAGCTGTTGCTCCCTATTGAATTTCAAATCTATACTCCAAAGTATCAAAAAGCTAGAGCTTCTGAGAAAACAACAGTAAACACTTTGTTTGCTAGGTTGTTGCTAGACAATTTTTCCAAGTCTTTATTCGCAGACATTATTGATGTCAAAAAATCATGATGAATAGTCCTTTGTTTTATAAAACTTCATCCTTAATAGGTTTATTTTGTATAAGTTGTTGCTGTAGCTGGTCATTTTCTTGCTTGTGGATGAGCCATACATAGAATCATAGAATCATTAATGTTGGAAAAGACCTGTGCTTTGATGAGTTTGTCTTTGACCGACCAGCTGTCCTGTGCTCTTCTGTCCTTCGGCATCCCATGTGAGCTTGCCTCCCGGTTCCCCAGAGAAGCCATACTTTGTTTTCCTGCTGTCCAGTGTCATTTTCTGTTTGCCTTCCTCACTTGTCTTAGTTTTCCTGTCACACATAAATGCTGTGGTTCTGTGATTCTGTGATTACTAACCCCTGTGAGTTGCCACAACAGGGTCAGGGACTGTTTGCAAATACAGAGTAGGATTGGTAGTGTTTTAGGTGGGGGAGCTTATGTATGTGGATTGCTTATCTGGAAATAATGCCTACTTTTGCTATTAAATGTCTCTCCAGTTGTCTTAAGTTTTCAATAACCCATAGCCTTAGTCAGTGTTTTAAAACTTTAATTTCCTAGTTGCAAGAATTTAATACAATATATTTTATTTAGTATCACAATATTAACTTTGTTAATCATTGCAATGCCTCTTTTTCAGATTACGTATTTCAGTCTGTGGTATTATAATAAGCAGAATCAGCGCAGATGGGTAGATTTGGACAAGCCTCTGAAAAAGCAGCTGGACAAATACGCCTTGGAGCCAACTGTGTATTTTGGAGTAGTGTTCTATGTGCCTACTGTTTCTCAGCTTCAGCAGGAGATTACCAGGTAAACTGCATTCAGGTGTCTATAATTTTCCTTTCAGCATTCTAAAATGTATGGCTTTTTAAAAAATTGTCTGCTTTCCCCTCCCCCACCTCTATAGAAATGGAAATTATTACTTTAGGCAGAATTTGTGTTTAAACTGTGTACTTATTTCCCTTTCAAATACTTAAATATGTGATAAACTAAGCAAACAACTAACTTTTTGGTGATCTTAGGAATCTATTCAAACCTGTTTTCAGTGATAGACATACTTGCATGGTCAGACTTTTAATTGTTTTAGCCCCTTCATGTTTGTGTGTCTCTTTTCTTGTTTTGAAGAGCCTTATGTTGCTTTTGGGGACGTCCATCCTGCACAAAGCACATGCAGATTTTATTGAGCCATGCTTTTCTTTGTTTTGCTTTCAGTACTTTCTGTACTTTCAGTACAATACATTGGCAAACTACAGGCTAAGCTTCAGCTTGTGATTTTATTTTTTGTGTGTGTGTGTGTGTCACTGGGCAGTGGAGGTGGATGTTAGCTTTGATATCATATATCCGTTCCTACTGTGAATCTGGGGAACTTCACAGAAGTGGTGCTGACTGCAGGGGAAAAGTACAATTGGTCATATAGACTGGCCAGTTATTTTTATGGGCCTATACATTGGCTTCTAGTGTCTTAATGTCTGTAGTTGTTCTGATTTAATTGTTAATTTTAACAGGCAAATGAGTACAAAAACAGTAACTGGATTACAAACATATATTTGGTATTTCAGAAATGTGTGTTTGCATTAACCTGTTTAAGCTGGTAACTTCAAGTTGGCCCTGTTTTGAGTGGGGAGTTGAACCAGATGATCAATCAGAGGTCCTTTCCAGCTTAAATTATTCTTGAATAATTGCTTACTTGAAACTGTCTTTATATACTCTGGTACTCTGGTGGTAACATAGGTTCCCAGACACCTTTCCCACTAACTGTGGTGTGAAAGCTTTTAAGGGAGATAAGCTGCCAGGCATTGAGCAGTAAGTTACAGCACCACTGTCTGCATCAAGACGCTTTAGTTTTTATTTTATGTGTAATTTCTGTAAGATTATTTTCTTTCTGAAAACTCTGAAGTTTTGGGATTTTTTTTTTCTCAGCAATTTCACTGGCTTAAAAAGTCATTCTAGTGGTCTTTTTTCTTTTTCTTTTTCAATAAATCTTTAGCTCAGATTCTGTGCTTGTTGGTGTACTAGGATGCATTCATTAGAGTAAGATAAATGTCATCGTGTTGCACTGAATAGCTAAATTGCCTGAAAAACCTTCAATATTCTTCTCTGGCATTTATTTAAAGAATATGGTGTTTATGCTGGAGCTTTAACAGCAATTTTACAGTGTGCTGCCACGTAGAAAGCAGGAGTTTATGTGCCTACTTTTACACTCAAGTCCTAGAGGATGGTACTTGTTTCTATGTATGATAGTGAGAGTCTGGGTTATTTTCAGAAATCTGTGCATTTTTTTCGTACCTTTTCAATTTAAATGAGATTGAGCATGTTTAAGCAAATTAATGTGTTTAACGTATACCAGGAAATGGAAATTTCATAGACAAAAGAAGGTGGTATTTGTAGTATCACAGGTTAGTATCAAAATTCTTCATCTGTATGTTTACTTCTAATAGCAGTTCTGTGGAAAGATTGACTGGGAATATTTGTTTCCCCAAATGCCTTGATACACGGTGGCTTTTTCGTTTCTGTTTTTTTAAGGCCTGGGTTTAGTCCCAGCCATTTGTGTGTGTGTTGTATAAGGATGTTACCTGCTGTCGTATGGCATAGTGCTTTTTTGTAGTAGGATCCAGGAAGAGTCTAAACAATATTTATAAAAATGTTTAACAGCCTGTTAAACACAGTGACAGTGAGGGAAGAGAGCTATCTTTTATCCTCTAACGGTGAAAATTTATGTGGAGTTTATCTGACATTTCTAATCACTGAATGAATCAGCAGCACATGCTTCCATGTTCTCAGTATTAAAGCCTTACTTCACAAGAGTTAATATACAATATGAGGAAGTTAAGAAGCTTTTAAAACTAGACTTATAGAAGACAAATGTCCTTCTCAGAAAAGTCTGTGTAGCTATAGTAGCATTTTTGAGATTTGAGGTGTTTTGGGCTCGGACAGGATGTTCCATGCATGGCTAAAAGGGGAAGAAGAATTCAAGAAAATAGTGGTTCATACTATGGACAAATGGTTGTGTGTACAAGAGATGACCCAGGAAAAGGTCAGATTAAAGGAGGAAAAAAAATGATGCCTTGAAAGTGAGAACAAAATGTACTCAGAAGTTGTAATGCAGGCATGAAAGTCACTATTGTGATTGAAGGGATAGATTGAAGTTCTTTTGGAAGAGAATGCAGCTATGCATCAGCAGTGTACTGAACATTGTAAAGAGGAGATAATATTAAGGAAGGAAGAGGTAAAAATAAAAAAAATTATTAGGGTGTGATAGAAATTGTGGAGAATCTTTGCTTTAAGAGGTAGCAGTATTTGATTCTGCAGTGATATGTGAAAGCTAAGGAAGGAGTTAACAAAGACCATGAAATAGTGGATCCAAATGATGACGAAGACTACCCTCCAGACTAACTGGAGAATGCAGAGAGGAATAGGAAATGCAGGCCTATTCATCTGCATTCTTTTTAAATTAAGAAGCCCATGTTAGCTTTTTCTTCTTTTTCCCATGTAGATATCAGTATTATTTGCAATTAAAGAAAGATATCTTGGAGGGCAACATTCCTTGCACACTGGAACAAGCAATACATCTGGCTGGTTTAGCTGTTCAGGGTAAGTAAGGCAATTGTGCAAATTGGCTAATGTTGCATTAGAACTGTTGATGATGTGTTTTCTATTGCATGTTTTCTGTTGCTCAAAGACCCAATTCAGTAGGTTATGAAAGGCTGGCTCCTTAGAACTTTGTCATGTGGACTGAGGAGTGGGAACAGGGGTATCAGTGGTCCTGAACTTGCTGGTATTTCTGTATAGTCCTCAGAGGTGTATCTGGGTATCTAACATGTATTTTCAGAAGCTGGGTGTGACTTAGATTTCTGAATTCCTTTGGGGGCAAAGGCTTTAGTTGTCTGCTTACATTGACAGACCTTTCCTCTGTTTCTGTTAATGAAGACTCTTTATTCTGACATGGTGACAAGAGAGAGAGACGTGTTTTAGTAAATAAGAAAATTTGAACGTACAGTAGCACTTGTATCTCAACTTTTTTTCCCAGATATCCTAACACCTAAGACTATTTCAATAGTACGCAGGACTGTTAGCAGTTCCTATGTTAAAATTGGTCCTTGAAGACCCATTTCTGTGATACCTACATGAAAATGTCTGTTTTATTTTTCCTAATAGCAGTTCTGGGGTCAGATGGGATAGAGTATACACCAGAAAATCACCAGTCATAAGTCTTTCTGCACTGATCATGTCTGGTGCTCCCTGCTAACATGCTTGTTAGATCTTAAATCTCACAAAATAAAAGTTTTTAATGGCGACAGCTTTGTTTAGCCTGTTTGTATATTGCTTCACAGTGAATGCCACTCCAGTATATATCTAACAGCAATTGTAAATCTGCTAGAATTGAAAGGCACTTAAAATCATTGGCAGTACATACAACTTAAGCTTTTTTGTCTTTTTTTTTTTTTAATTATATGAGTTGGTAGTATCACATTAAAGGTGATGATTATGTTTTTTGAGAATATGGTTACCAGTAGAGTAGGGTGAATTATATTAGTGCCTTTTTTATATAACAGTGAATCTGTTTAATCCAAGCCAGGATTTAATGGTCTTCAACTGACAAAATCTTGCTTTGTTATTTGCATGTCTTCGGACAGAGTAAATGTCTCTCTGCTCAGTGAGTTGTTTATAGAAATCTTTCAGTATAATCCTCTTTCCAGATGGAAAATATTTATCCTTTTAGCTTTCACATTCCTTTTTCAGTCTTATAAGAGAGAAACTGTATGTGCTGATAACACAGTGAAAAAACAACTCAGAAAAAACACAGGTTCTAAATTAACGTGCCGTAATGACTGCAGTAGTTTATACCAGGTAGGTTAGCTAATTTTAGCTGGTGAACAAACAGAAGCAGTTGTTTGCTGTTTTGAGTGAACTGGTTTCAAGAATGATCTGTATTTGAAATAATTATGATAGACTAATTCTAAACACTGCTTTATCTCAAGTGCTGGGTTGGTGTAGCGTGTCACAAGTTCTCCCCTTTCATCATAAATAACTTGCATATTGATTGTTAATGCTTAATACAAATTTGGTTCCTCTAAAAATTACACTGTTATGGATGAGAATCTGTGGTAATGTAAGTAGATTCTGTATACTTGGGGATTGTATTTATATTTTTGGGAGCAGCCATTCCATACAGACTGCTGTCCCACAGTTTCTCCTGTGAGACTGGTACGTAACTTTTCCAGTTTAGACTGTTCTGTTACTCCTCTTTGAAACATGGGCTAGTTTTTTCCTGGAAACAGAAAAAGAGGCAAATTCCTTGGGATGCCCTTTGGCATGACATAAAATCAAAACTGTTATTAGTTCCTTCTGAGCATGCCCCTGAGTCTGGGAAGGCATCTAGATCCAACTTGACCAGAGAAGGCTCTGAGACAATCTGCTGTAGCTGACCCTGCTTAGGGCTAGATCTCCAGAGGCCCCTTCCAATCTCAATTGTTCTGTGATTAAAAGAACCAAACAAATAAAAACCTTAGCACTTGGAGCAACACTCTGATTGTTTTATCATTTCTTCTCCTTTCCTATCCACAAGGAGTGTTACCAGTTTTTCTGAATAAGGTGAAAAGATGGGATGTGTTTTTACGTTTCATAAAAATTACTGGTTAGTTTGTTCTGTTGTTTTACTTTCAGATCATAGTTCAATAGGATGGAGATTTGCTACTTGGAGATCCTACTGCAATTAATCATGTATTGAATCATTTTGTTACAAATGTTTGAATCCAAGAAATTTTTTATTTTTTAGCTGATTTTGGAGACTATGATCAGTATGAATCTCAGGAGTTTCTACAAAGATTTGCTTTGTTTCCAGTGGTAAGTACTTTAAATTGATTAATTTAAATTCTTAAATTGTTAAATGTAAATATTACTTTAGATGGGTAAGTACAAATCATTGTTAATGGCTCCGTGATCCATGTAGCTTACTGTTCCCTAGATTGTCAAATTCAGTAAAGGTGTTCTTTGAGGCTGGAGTGAGATATGATACCTTGTATTACACAGAAGAAAGATGTTGCAAGATCTTTTCAATTTTATTGTATATTACACTAAAAGAAGGTTGGGGTGGAGATGGGAAAGTGAGTAAAACCACTTCAAACCAGTGTTTGTGCTTTTTGGTTTTGTTTGTGTGCATATTACAGCATCTGAGCTCCAAGACTAGCGTGGAAGATTGATTCACCTGTGTAAAGAAACTATAACAATTTAATTTTGTAGAATTTTTTGTATTTCATTCTATAAATGCTATCTTACCTTAAGGGTTGGCTACAAGAAGAAAAAATATTGGAAGAAGCAACACAGAAAGTTGCCTTGCTACATCAGAAGTACAGGTAACGTTTCTAAAACTCTTTATTGCTTCATTTTGATGTGATTGCTTCAATAGCTCAGGAAGTTGGGAATCTCAGAAGACAGTTCAACTAATTTCACTTCCCATTTGAAAGAGGTTTTCATTGATACATCTACATTAAAATTACAAGAATTTTTGCTGAATGAGAGTGAAGAGAGAGCAGAATGACTATTAAAATAAATGAGGACTCTGCTTGAAAATTAAGGATACAGGACACAACTAAATAGTGTGACTTCACCTGTATAAGGTTTCTGAAACTTCTTTATATGAAGTTGTGACCCCAGTAAGGATGTTTCTTGACAAACAACATTGGCAGATACTGAGGGCAATAGAAATGTAGAGACACTGCCAGAATGCTTATGATCTTCTAGCTAAAATGCAGTAGTCCAAGACAAAGGAAAGTGAAGTTCTCTGTTGTCAGTTCATCAGTGAAAAATGTGTGTGAGTAATACAGATGATTTTTCCTGTATTGTTTTAAAACACCAATTTGAAAATTTCACATCCACTCATCTTCGAAATGCTTTCGTACCAAGATTGCATGGTTAAGGTTCAGCAAAGAAAAGGTAATCCACATAACATTAGGGAAAAGTGAAGAAGCGGAGAGGTTGATGATTGAAAAGTGTTGAGAGACATAAGAATGAGCATGACAGGATTTTGCAGGTAGAGATAATGTCTTTTATGAGATCAACTGCGGTAGGTAGGGAAACACAAGCTTTTAATCCATGTGACACTACTGCAAGTCTGTGAGAAAACTGTCTATGCCAGTTGGTCTAATTAAAAAAAAAAAATTACCTTTACCTACAAATCTTGTCCTTCTCATGTTTTCAAACCATTAGAGTTAAAACTCTGTCAGCATTTAGAAGATAAGAGTCTCTTTCCTGAAACACAGAGCATCAAACTTCATATTGGTCCTAAACATGTATACTGCAATGGGAGAAATTCAGGTCTTGAGCACATGTACCAGAACAGTCATTCTGACAAAGTGAGGAAAATATGGTGATGATGGATTTGAAAAAGAATGTTATAATTGTCTGCCATTAGCAGAGATGATAATTTTAAGTGGTCTTTGTTGTCATTTACCCCTAGAGATGCCCGGGAGAAAGACGTTACTAGAATCCAAGTGTAAAGATGTACAGATGAAAACAGCATGATTTGATGGTTGCCTGGATGTCTTGGGGATGCTTTTCAAACTTTGGCAGTGTCAGTCAGAGTAAAACAAAGATGATTTTTTCTTATTGCCAGTACTAGCTGATCGTTGTTTTCATTTGTAGAGGCCTTACTCCTCCTGATGCAGAAATGTTATATATGCAGGAAGTGGAGAGAATGGAAGGCTATGGTGAAGAGACCTATCCTGCAAAGGTAAGCAGGGCTTTGATCTTTGTCTCAGTTGCTTTTTTCCCCCTGTGTAAAAAGGGGGGGGAATGAAATAAATAAATAAATACAAACCAAAAACCACACCACCCCTTTTCTCTCCCAGAATTGCTTCTCATGTAAGTTTGCTTTCAAAGACTTTTTTCTGTATTTGCATAATTTTTTGTAACTTCTTACAGGACAGCCAAGGAAGTGACATATTCATTGGAGCATGTCTTGATGGTATCTTTGTGAAACACAAAAATGGTCGTCCTCCTGTTGTATTTAGGTTAGTGTTGTTCTTGCTTAAAATATCTTTGTGCGCTTCACATTTTATGTGTGTTTAAGTGTGTTCGTCACTAGCAGAAATGACTCTTAGATGTGATATGTATTTATTAATTTGATAAACCTGAACATGGTCTTGTAGTTGTCACGCTACAGTGAATACTGAAGTCCATGGGAGTTTTTTTGATGTATTGACTGTAGAGTGAATCTCTTTTAAGCCAGATTAATTCTAAGAGATAAACATACATTCCATTGCAAAACATTTATTGAGTCAAAAAGGAGCAATTCTCTGCACATAGAACATCTTAAGTCCTGAGGTGGGCACATCAATTTACTTAGAAATATTCAATTGTAAAATTATCCAGGAGTTCCTTTGATATATTCTATACAAAAGAAACAGAGGTGAGTCACAGGTGTGTCTGCAACTTACCTGACAGTTAAAATTCAGTCTTCATGTGAAATGGTTCCCACTGACTTCTAGAGTGATTGCTTGGGCTTCTTTGGACAGAATTTAGAATAAATAAAAAAAAAATGCATATTGGAGATTTTTTTTTTTTTAATGAATCTTAGTAATCTGCAGTTATTGCTAGAGCAAGAAAGGCTTTTTTTTGTGAATTTTAATCTTCTAGGATTGAATTTTTGGCTGAATCTGAACAGAATCTTGAAATCCTGTGGTCCCACAGTTGGTGAATTTCTGGGGTTAAAGAAGGTAGCAACTGTGTTGCTTTCTGTTAGTGGTTTAGTTTAATAGAATTTATACATTCAATACCGTTAACTGTCCTTCACAAAAATCTCTCTCTCTCCTGCTGATAGGAGAGCTGATGCCAAGTTGTTCTTAATTGTGTAGAGTGGTAGAAGTGCCCTACTCTGCTTTCTTGCAGAATGAAGCAGCAACAACTCTGCTATCTGACTTCCAAGCACATGGGCGAGGAATAAAGCTTTGTTCACACATTTCACATTATCTCTGGAAGAATTGTGGATGCAGTGTCTGTGTAAACACAAAAAGTTGCACACTGGAGACCATCAGAAAGTATTCATATTGCAATTTCAGGATCCAGTTTTCTGCTCTATTGCTTAATTGTTGTATGACTGCCCAGTTCTACTGGGGATAGATATATCATGGTATTTGGGTGGCAAAAAAGCATAGACAAGTAACTCACTAGTACAGTATACAAAGGCTGGGTTATGCTTCAGATTGGTTCAAATAATTTCATAATTTCTCCATAAACTATATGCCTATGAACTAAGGCCTTAAATTTGAGGGGTCTTTGCTTTGCATTAAAATGGGGACATCAATGTTTCTCTACCTCATGCCTATGATGGTGAGTAGCTATACAAAATGCTATCAGCCGCATCCATATAATTAAAATGGAAGTCACATAAATAAGTTTAGAGAGAATCTTGTATGTAGATCGTGCTTTTTGCCTGTGTTTGTGCACTGCAGAATATTCTTTTAATCAATGACATAGGCTTTATTTACAATAACATAATACTAATGGATCAAACTACATGTATATTTAACAAGAAGTTGAATAAATATATGGTATTATATTTCTTGCAGTCTAACCTTTTCTCATCTGTCAATATGCAAGACATTATGACTTACTGATAAGTAAATTTGTCTGAGTTTGATTTTATTATTTTTTTTTAAAGAAACTTGAAAGAATTTCAAGTGGAAGACAAGTAATAAACTTACTGCTGTACATGTTGTGCATCTTCCAAAGTCACATACATATTTTCCTTTCAGCAGTCATTTAATGGATATGGAAGTGATGGACTGCAACTTGTTCAGATAGATTGATGAATTGTCCCCAGTTCTTTATCCATATTCTTGGTGGTGGTTCTGTTCTTCAGTTCCATTTTCTGTGGTTTGAAAGTCAGAGCTTGCCAGTCAAGTCCTCTACCTTTTGTCTGCAGGTGGCATGATATTGCCAACATGTCCCACAACAAATCCTTTTTTGCATTAGAGCTGGCAAACAAAGAAGAGACAATCCAGTTCCAAACTGTGAGTAGATTTTTACTCTTATTTTTTCACTAAGGCATTGGTAGATAAAAACACCAATTAAGACTGTGAATTTAACTCAAAGTATAAAAACTACTTCTTATATGTTTAGCAACTTTGAACTGTATGAATGAGTCAAAAGTAATAACACTGTCTCTGGCTAGCTTTCTACGGGAAGGCATTAAAAATTGACCTTTTATGTTGAGTACATCGACAAGTTCAGTTCAGGTGGTCATAAACATTTTCATCCATTCCAGTAAAATTTATAGCATGTTTTTTTGACTTTTAAGTCAGTGGCATTTAAAGATAAACATGGTCTTAGAGCCTTGCCAGAATGGGCCATGGTGTTCCTTGCAGAATTAATTTTATGTAGCATCTGCCTGTTGCCTTTGTCAAGAAGGCAGCTGTTCATAATCTGCATGAGAGAGAGAGAAGAAGATACTGTAAATTGTGTTAGTGTTATAGCTGATAAAAAGGACTTCAACAAAAAGCTTCTGCTTTCAACTTCATCTAATAAAATCTAATAAAATTGTTAGGCTAGAGTGCATGTTCAGGTCCGCAAAGTACAGTTTTAGGGAAAACCTGGTGAGAGTATTGAGGTTATATTAAAACTAAATTGGTTAATGCTAATTTAATCTTAAAAATTTCAATGGCTTGTCTGAAAGCAAATGAAAGGTATGCATATTCAGCCTAATATGCAAATTTTGGTGTTTTTTTGGCAGGAAGATATGGAAACAGCAAAATACGTGTGGAGGATGTGTGTGGCTAGACACAAATTTTACAGACTAAATAAATGCAGCCTGTAAGTAGAATACATTAGCAGAACTCTTGGTGCCCTTGAAGCGTCCATTGGGAAGTGAAATCATTTATAACTTCTGTAATGTCTTTACTGTCCTTAGATGGTAGTAATTAATGACTTGGGGTTTTTTTCTTAATCTTTTTTGAGAAAATACTTACCACCAGTTTCTCAAACATGTTCTGCTTTATAATGGAGGACAACATTGAACACTGAAGTCTTACCAAAAGTAATAGTGTTTGGCCCCTGCTGCTGGATCTCAGTGCTGTGGCAGCTTTAGTTGCTTTGGGGGTTGCTATTGCTAGAATGTTTGTGAGCTACTGGAATCACTGGGATTTTGGCCTGGGTTTGGGTGAACTGCTCTGAAAGGACATGCTAGAGGCCTTTAAAAGGGTGAGAAGTGTATGTGAAGCACTCCTGAAATGTGCTGGATTGACAGCTGAGAGGTATGTGGTCCTTTGGATATCCATGGAATCCGTATAGCTCAAGTAGCACCAGTGCAAAGTAAATTTAATACAATTTATCAAATTAAATTTAAATGGGCTGGTTTCCAACTTGTAAATCAAGGGCTGGAATTTGAGCTACTCCACTGGTACAGCTTTCCTTCAGTTAAGTTACTTCAGTCAAAAAAGAGAGAATTAGACCCAGTGAATAGACTGTCAAAAAAGCACGATTCTGAAATGTTCCATTCCTCTTCTTTGTATACGAGAGGATAGCTGTGGAGGGCTTGGTCCAAAATTTGCTGAGGCAAGTGGAAAGATAATGGAATATTTTGTACCACAGATGACTTGCTAGTGTGTTTAATGCTAACTTATATTAGAAGAGTAAGATTAATTTTGAATAGAGTAGACCTCATACCTGTAAGCTTATAAACCTGTCTGCCTTTTGAGAGGGATAAGAGATGTTGATAGTAGTGGTGCGTTTGTGGGACTCGTGCATTGCTATCTGAATAATGTCAGTTCTATAGTCCTGTATTGAATGTCAGTCTCAAGGATTACTTATTTCAACACTTTCATCACAAAATGGTTTTATTAATAGGTAAATTCTTCAAAAAAATTTCCTGATTACTCTAAGATTCCCTCTCATCTGCTCCTGCTGCAGAAAATTCTTATGCATGCCTGTATTAAGTTCACTTTTTTCTTTATCTGTACGTACCTTGTTTTTAGAGACTCCCTGGACTCTCCACCTGAGGAGGGCTCTCAGAAATCTTCCCTCATTCTTTCCCTTCCACGCTTTCCAATCCTTTCTCGTCCTTCACTTCCCAAAGGGTGAGCTGAAAAATCATCTTTCTGAAATCTGGCAGTTCCTGCATTTGTATTATTCTTCTGTCTTTTGACCTCTTGCCTTGTTGCAAGATGCAGAGTACAGGTGCAATGTAGGGTGGGGAAAAAGGAGTGTAGGGTTTCTGAACCTTACATCCTGGAGGCAATCCAACAAATTACGAAAATTTATTACCATTAGCTTGAGTGTTAGAACATACAAATGCTTATGCAGTATAGTCACGCTTTCCAGTTCTTGTAACATCTGTAACGTTACATTCTGTAAATAATTTTATGTCTGCTCTCGTGGAACAGTTAACTTACAGTATGAGCACATTCCAAGGTTTGAAATAGGTCTTGGTGGTGTTAAGAGTCATTTCTCACCATAAAATTTCTTCTGTAGACAAACCCAACCTGTTACAGTGAATCCTGTTAGAAGGCGGTCTTCATCCAGGATGTCTATGGTAAGGAGAGCAAATAGTGTTATTTTTGCATTTTTATGGATTTCAATTGACTTTGAATCAGACCTTAGTTTCCCTCAATTAAGTAAAATGAGCAGTGAACAAGATGAGTCTGGTGTGTGAGGAACTGTTTTTGACCTGTAGAAAGAGCTGCTATGTAATATCTGAATAATGGAATTAAAATAATTGCAATGAAAAATATTTTAAGCACTTCTATTTTTGGTTTGCTTGCTCTGTCTCTAGGAGACTCATATAGGAGACTGTTCTAGATGTCAGACGGCAAGATACAGTCTTGGGTTGGTAGTGTGTGGTTTTAGTTTTGTTTCTTTTTTTTAAATTGTTTCTTGTATGACCTCACAGGAGAAACTTACATTGCAGATTTAGAGAAATGGTTTAAGGCTAAGGCTTTGTATGTGTATTACAGATGATATTATACATTATGTATATAAAATCTTCAAGATTTATTTAAAAAATAAATCATGATTTTTTAACTAACAATATGATGCTTGCTTTCGTAGCCCAAACCTCAGCCGTATATGATGCCTCCACCACCTCAGCTGCATTACAATGGTCATTATACTGAACCATATGCATCCTCCCAAGGTAAGTTCATTAAATCCAAGGCCACAGTACACAACTTTAGAAGGTAAAAGGTATAATTGGCATTTATAGCTAGTTTAGCTAGTACTGAGTAAATTCATAGGGTGAACATGGCATAGGTTTGTACTACAGCACTCATTGAAGTGCTTGCTGCTACTCTAGGCATATAAGCTAATGTGGAATAGAATCATAGCATTGTTTAGGTTGGAAAAGACCTTTTAGATCATCAAGTCTAACTGTTAGCCTAGCAGTGCCAAGTCCACCACTAAACCATGTCCCCAAGCACCACATTTACACATCTCTTAAATACCTCCAGGGATGGTGACTCAACCACTTCCCTGGGCAGCCTGTTCCAATGCCTGACAACCCTTTTGGTGAAGACATTTTTCCTAATACCCAGTCTAAACCTCCCCTGGTGCAACTTGAGGCCATTTCCTCTTGTCCTATTGCTTGTTACTTGGGAGAAGAGACCAACACCCACCTCGCTACGACCTCCTTTCAGGCAGTTGTAGAGAGTGATAAGGTCTCCCTCGAGACTCCTTTTCTTCAGGCTAAACAACCCCAGTTCCCTCAGCCTCTTCTCCATATCCTCTCCTATGGATATGAGCAAATTAGTTATGATAGCATATACAAGCAACTATGGACTGTGGTGCCTTGTGTGAGTTGAAGCTGACTGTCAGTTTTTTTGGTTCGTGTACCAAATTGGCACATTATGGCATTGTGAGAACCTTGTCAGTATTGATCTTAATAGCTGGAAAGAGTAGCTGAGCCCCCAGAGAATTCAAACAATTAAAAAAATAAAAAAAATTAAACCCAGGATGCAGGAACAGAGAAGTTTCTCTCAGAGTTTGCTAGACTACAGGGTGGTGGGGAATTCAAAGGCTAAGGAAGTCTGCGAGTTACGGAATTGATACACAATTGATTGGAAAAAGGAAAGAAAAAAACCCAAGCAAACCCTGATTAGAATTCTCAAGGAATGCACACTCCTAATCTAAGCGGTTTACAGTGGAGTCATGGCTGCTTTCTCTCCTTTGTTTTCATTGCTGACACATTGTGTCTTTAATTAACAAAGTTGCTGCCCTGAAGGGCTTAATCTAATCTTCTGCAAACTTGCCTCAGTTTTGATAGGGACTTTCCAGTCCTACGAGTCAGCTGGATGAAAAAAAAACTCTTAACAACTCACTGGTAAGGGAATAAGCACGTTTTTATCTAGAGTTACACAAGTATTCATGAAGGTACAGGTATATAAATTCAGAATGTCACGGAATTCTTTGCAATATCGTGTTGCTACTGCACATGTCCTGTTTTTGAACATTTTTTTCACAAACAAAAGAATTTTTGTTTGTCAGCAAATTCATTAACGTAAGTGTGGCAGTTATTTTGGTGAACCTGAAAAGTTAAATCATGAAAGGCATCTAAAACAATGACTGAATTGTTCTCTTCTGGAGCTTGGGAAATTGTACATCCAATGAAGTAATGGTTAAATTTTTAAATGTATATTGGATAATATACATATATATGTATATTATATATATATATATATCAACGTTGGATCACTTTCTTTACCCATCAGAGTGGGTATATGTTAATGTGCAAACAAGATATGGTGGTGGTTTAAACTGTCCCCAAAATTTCTGGACAAAAGTTAATTTGATTTTTCTTTTCTTTTTTTAAAGGTCTTGTGTTACTGTATCTACTTATGACCTGTCGGGGTGGGGAGAAGAGTGAGGGTTTTTTTGTTTGGTTGTTATGGGGATGTTTTTGGGTTTGTGGTGCTTTTTTTTTTGTTTGTTTGCTTTTTTGCCTTTCTTGGTGTTTAAACTGATCTCATGACATTAGTGCAAACCCTGGTGTAGACATTCTTTCTTTCAATTAGTGTGGTTTAAGATTGATACGGGTTATTGTTTAACTTGGACTGAAACTTAGCAAACCTATCCTAAACAGAAGAAAGCCATTCTTAAACTAAGACAATGTTTTCCACTAGGAATTTGCATCATCTAAATGAACATAATAGGTTACTCTGGAATAGATATCCTAGGTACCAACAACAGCAAAAAACGCTGGGATTGTTTGGGTTTTTTTTTCCTTCTCATTGCAATACACAGCTAACAATATCTGAGATGTTGAAAATCTCAAACATTGGTTAGCTACCTCTTAATAGAGGATATCTTTGTTTGATGTCTTGGACATAAAGATTGTTCTTAAACTTTGCTTTCAGATAACCTCTTTGTGAGCAATCAGAATGGATACTACTGTCACTCTCAGACTAGCTTGGATAGAGCCCCTCATGACTACAGTGGTCGAATCCGCAATGGTAGTGTCTATAGTGCACATAGCACAAACTCCTTGAACAATCCACAGCATTACTTGCAGCCGTCCCCCATGTCCTCTAACCCAAGCATTACTGGAAGTGACATCCTCAGGACTGATTATGTCCCGTCACACAGACATAGTGCACTAATACCACCTTCTTATCGTCCCACGCCAGACTACGAAACTGTGATGAGACAGCTCAACAGGGGAATGGTGCACACAGATAGGCAGAGTCATTCAATGAGAAATCTTAACATCAGCAATTCATATGCTTACAGCAGGCCTGATGCCTTAGTTTACAGTCAACCTGAAATACGAGAACATGCTCACTTCACTTCCCCACAGTCTAACCATTATCCGTTTAACCTGAACTACAGTTTTCATAGCCAATCCCCCTATCCCTATCCTCCTGAAAAGCGCCCAGTTGTTGGGGCAGTCAGTGTTCCTGAGCTGACAAATGTGCAGCTCCAGGCTCAGGACTATCCAGCACCAAATATAATGAAGACCCAAGTCTATCGACCACCTCCCCCATACCCGTACCCAAGACCTGCAAATAGTACTCCAGACCTTTCACGACATATCTACATTAGCAGCAGCAATCCAGATCTTATCACAAGGCGAGTGCACCATTCTGTCCAGACATTTCAGGAAGACAGCCTGCCTGTGGCACATTCTCTTCAGGAAGTCAGTGAACCTCTAACGTCGGCACGCCATGCTCAGCTGCAGAAAAGGAACAGTATTGAAATAGCAGGCTTGACTCCCAGCTTTGAAGGAATAAGAATTAAAGAAAGGACCATGTCAGCTTCTGCAGCAGATGTGGCTCTTCCAAGAGTTATCTCAGAAGGGTCACAGCCCAACATTCTGATGGAGAGGACAAAGCAAAAAGAAAGTGAGCAAGAAGAAAGTGTAAACTGTGATCATAAGAAAACCCTTTCAGATGCCACTATGCTGATTCATAGTAGTGAGGAAGAAGAAGAATTTGAAGAAGAAAGCAAGGCTAATACAAGTCTCTCTCCTCTCCCTGAAGATCAAACCCAGCTGTCATCCGTTATGGGTGGTTATTCTCATGATTCAATACTGAACTACCCTTATAGCTCTGTTGCTTCATCTGCTGGCCCTTTGCATATTCTTGAGCCTAAATTACATATTACAGAGACAGAAAAGAGAATGAAAGATATGAGCCCCATTCATTTACTGGTAGAAAGCCAGGTACAGAGAAGAGGGGAAGGACTGCTTACTCCATCCATGTCGGAATCTGATCTTACAACATCAGGGAGATACAGAGTAAGGAAAGATTCAGTAAAGAAGAGACCTGTGTCCGATTTTTTGTCTGGGAAGAAGAATATTGTGGAAGGCCTTCCCCCGCTAGGTGTAAGTGGATACTATTCCTCGTTTTGGGTGGTTCTGTAGTGGGAGTTGTGTGGGGTTTTTGTTTGAGGTTTGGGGTTTTTTTAATCAACCTGAGATGCTTTTACAACATGTGAATTAAAAGCTACCTTAAGCTTGACCTTTATTTTTCTGTTTTTCACTGATTAACTTTGCTTAGCTAGCTTTCATCCCCTTCTCTGCCATGTCTGAATTCTGTTTGTGTAGTCCTCTCGCACAAATCCAGCTGTGCAGTCTCCATCCGATACACCTAACCTGGCTAGCAACTGTAGAATGAGCGAACTTAAAGTCCCTTCTAGATCTCAAATTCTGCCCTACCTATCATTATCTGGAACAGAAGCAACTCTTTCCATTCCACTACCAGCTTTCTAATCTTCTTCTCACTGAAAAATTGGATGTAGCTGAATGTTTACTTTTTTGATTTCCTTTCTTCTTGTGACCTAAGAGGGGGACCTGACGCATTAGGCAATAAATTCTTTCATTGCATTCTCTTCCTTCCTCCATCCCTTCCCTTTTTCATATCCTTTCCCTTTTGCCTTCTCTTCAAGCTGTTTTTACCTCACTAAAGGTACTTCTTACATGTAGAAGTACCATGTCTCTTTCCCCTACTCCAATCTTACGAAGCCATAAATAATGTATAACTGCCAGTTTCACCTTCCCTGTAATTCCCACCTCTTAGAAATGTCAAGGTCTGTGTGAGTCTGTACAACTTCACAGGCAGTCGTTAGCATTCATTTTGTTTTAAACTTTTGTTCAGCTTTATTGTATCCTGTGGTATATTTCAGATACCACAGGAGAAAGAATGGAGAAAGACCATTTTTATTATTATTTTGCCTTGACTGTTGTTAACTTCGCCTGCCCGAGTTAGTATCAAATAGTTTTCTGCACAAATTGGACTGCAGTGAAACTACCATGTAACCTCTACTGTAGTAACTCGTAGAGCTGATGCTGCAAAAGCTAACCTATGCAAAAGCGATGTATTTAAATAGTTACTGCTCTCACAATTTTTTGTCTGTCAGACTTGCTATACATGGAGCTGAAGACAATGAAATGAACCTTCATCAGCTTCAATTCATTTTATAATTATGTATGTTTTTCTACATCTCCTTCCTCCCGTTTGTTATGTGGGTATAGGGAAAAGGTGATACCCTTCTTCTGTTCACATTTAGATAGTCACTTATCTTTTTGGAGAACAAAATACTATGTTTTCAGACACTGATGTGTCTACCAAAATCATAGCCTGCCTTTTCCTTCTGATAGCTATGTAAATGTTCAAGTCAACCTTTGAAATGAAATTCATATTAAAACTTTTTCACTGGAAGTGTTCAGTAAAATACTTTCTAGTTCAGTAACATTTAAGAGTGCCATTGCATAATAGAATATTACATTTCCATGTTCAATATTGATGTGAATATCCTGGTAACAAAGCTAGCCCCTACCAATGTTTGCACATTTTGCTTTTCAATGAACTCTTACTGTTGTGTTTGTGTTCACTTTTAAATGTGGTCTTATCCTCTTAGCTTTGTCTTCCTATTCCTTACTACCATTTAGCTTTTTAAAGCATTGATTATCATTCAAGCAGCACATACACTCACATTTTCATTGTTTTTTTTAACAACCCAACTTAGCAACTGCAGGAATGATGAAGTTTTCTCTTACACTTTTTAAAAGAATCATTTGAATTTATTCATTCATAAAACCCCCCCTTTGGTATTTTTCTCCAATAATGAATGGTAATTTCAATCATTTACATTCATGGCCTACTTCAGGGCTCAGATCTGTCTGCAGTTCTGTGTTCATGTTTTGTATGTGCAGTTTGTTGCCAACTTAGTCAAACATTTAACTATATCCAAATACCTTAAAGCTGTATGCTCATTGTTATGCCTGCTTGTAGGGAAGAAAAGTCCCTGCAAACTGAATAGTCTAGTAAGGAATGATTTTTATGTATTTTAGGGGTTGGAAAGCGATTCCAATTCTGTCCAAGAATGACAAATATTGTTCCCCAGGAAGCTCACAACTGAGGGTGTGAGGTGACAACTCTGGATAATTAACATTCTTATGCAGTTTCATTAACCTGTCTGGAATGAAGACAGACTTGTGTTGTATCCTTGGAGGAATGTGGTCCCACCACCCTGATCTCTTGCTACAGTGCTTATCAAAAAAAAAAAAAAAAAAAAAGTCAGAGCTGTTTGTAGAAGGGGTCAAAGAAGTATCCTTTGCTTAATTGAACTCATCTGGTTTCTGCTACTCATCTGGTTTCTGCTTTGTAACTTCATCAGGTATTTAAGAATATTTACAAGTTTTAGCTTTTCTTTTGTAGGGTATGAAAAAGAATAAAAATGATGCAAAAAAAATAGGGCCTCTAAAGCTAGCTGCCCTAAATGGACTAGCTTTGACTAGAATGCCTCTGCCAGATGAGAGGAAGGAAGAATCAACAAGAGCAACAAATGATGAACGGGTATGTTGAAGTTTTTTAATGTTTGATTTCTCTTTTACACTACTGATTTTTCAAAATGAAATGCATATGAATGGTGCTTTGTGTTGACTTTAAAATGCTTCCAGTTCAAAGCAACTCAAATACTGAGAATAGAAACAAACTAAAGAATGAGACTTCTAATTGATAAGTCATTGCTAGAAGTATTGGGTGTAACTCAGATTTTTCTTTAGATTTAAGATGACAGTGATTGAGATCATAGTTACCCTTTGAACATACAGGAAACAAATTAACTAGTACCTACTGATACATTTTTTGTGCCAAGTCTTTCTGTGTTCTCTCTTAATTTGGGGATTTTCTGGACTGAAAACATATGAAAGTTAAAATTCTGAGTGTGAGATTGAACTTGGTTGTAATTATTAGTAATGAATACAATTTTTACAATAAATTTTGTAGTTAAATTGCATCCCCAGGGTACAGTGTGTGCAGATGATATTTATCTGTTTGCCTTCAGTGGATGCCTGAAAATGTAGATGGAACTTTTGTGTTCTGCAGAAATTTTAAATTCAGTAAAAGATCTCAGGTCACTGAGAGAACATCAGGTTCCAGAATTTGAGGATTATTCTTTGAGAAATATGACTCCATCTGCTTGTGTTAGGGTAAATGATGTCAGTAAATATACTTCAGTCTGTGTCATAAATCATTATAGGTGCAGGAAAGTGAAACACAGTCAATATCCAGCCTGTGAAGGGCTATGTAGAACAGTGCTGTCATCACACATCTGACTAGGGAGCAACTGGATACACCAAGATCTATGGTGATTATTGTACATTCTGCAACCAGTGATCTCTTTAGAATCCAGTTCTGAGCATGGTTGGGCATCCTCAGCAGACCCCCTCTAGCTCAGTTCCTTGACAGTCACTGGGCAGGGTTTAGGACCCGAAGGAACAGTCCTGCTCTCACCAGCTGCAGTTTTAAGGAACAGGCCAAGAAAATTAATTTCAAGTCACACAGTAGAAATTTGGTCTTGGAGTTTGAAGGCTTGGAGTGAGATCCATAGGAGGGAGATTTGCCTGTTTCATTTAAACATTTGAAGTTCTTTTTGAACTATATATATTTAAAATATATATATATACACACACATACTCCTTAAAGATGCTAAGGGACAAAAATTAACATTGTGTTATTGAGATACAGTTCTACATTTTGTACCTGTGTTGGTTATTTCCTCTTACTTACAACTATCATCTTTTCCTGGAATGACCTTTATTGAAATCAGACGTATTATTACTTAGTTAGCTCTGCCCAAAGTGTTGAGGTAAAAGAAGAATCCATAAAGTCAAGTTATGAAAAAGACATGTCACTACACTTTCTCTTCAGGTGGTCATGTAGAGGCAGAACAGATACCATGAAATGGGAGTAATTCCTAAAACAGTTGAGAAAAGGCAGTGCAGAGCAGACATATTGACGTGAAAGGAAGTCCAGACTGCAGATATTTTGGAAGATGATTTTAAAGTTAATTCAATGCCTGTTTCATTGCTCAGGTTCGTGCAATTATCAGTTTAAATGAGTGAATTTAGCCTAAAGATAATAAAGGAGTTTGTACAGTTGATGTATGGATGTGCAGATTGCGTATGATTGAGGTTTTATGCCTTCCTTTGCAACGTTTGACATTATGGTTATTTGATACAAGACAATTTTTCTGACCTGATACCGTGGAGCAGTTGCTGTGAGAGGCTGGGGACTTGTGACATAGATGAAATTTTCTGGCTGAAATCTTACATATTATTCCTCTAATTATTGTTGGCAAAGAGATGCTGAAATTCCAGAAGTGTCTTATGATTTAGAAAGAACTTGGTTTTGAAAGAATAAACCGGTGTGGAGAGTGGAAGCAGTTCATTAAATAAAACAGATCGAGTTATACTACTAGAAAAAATCCTGGGTTACACATCAACTGCAGCAAAATGTTCTAGGAAGGCTTTGCTGATGTATGCAAAGTTTAGTATCTTCAGCCTGAGAAAATATAAAATATTGGTAGTGAATTATTAGCTCATTGACTGAGGCAAGTGCTTTTTACTTTTTTGGAGTTCTTCTCCATCCAAATGACAAAATTGACTTTATTTTGTTTTATTGCAAGGTTAAAGAAGACCTTTTCAGATTATGTAATATAACATGCTGTATTGAGCAGGAGGATTAATGAGTATTTCTTGTTCAAAGGTATTTGAGGCAGTTTGTAGTACATTTGTAGTATTTGTAGTACAGCATAGCTATCTGGTCAATTATTTAAGCCAAATATTTCTTTGCCCAACTGCGTTGTCTTTATAGAAACTATGATGTAATTTTTCTTTCACTAGTGGTATTCAGACCTAATGAAGTATAACAGGCTTCTTAGTTTTCACTTGAGCAAAATTCCTACTGGTTAGGGTTGCTCTAATTTTTTCCGATATATTAGTGAAAACATTAATGGCTGGAAAAGCATTGAAAAAGTATGTAAAGGAAGGAAAGAGGAAAATGCATACATTTTGTCCTTCATGAATTCTCTGTTAAAATACACTCGCCTTAGAACGTGACTGCATATTCTCATCTGTGTTCTCTTTTTCAGTGTAAAGTTCTAGAACAACGGTTAGAGCAGGGGATGGTGTTTACTGAATATGAGCACATTCAGAAAAGAAGACTTATAGATGGTGAGTGCTCAATAGCTCGGCTTCCTGAAAATGCTGAAAGAAACAGATTCCAGGACGTCCTTCCTTATGATGATACCAGAGTAGAGCTAGTCCCAACCAAAGAAAATAACACAGGTTACATCAATGCATCTCATATCAAGGTGAGAGAAATACTGTTGGAGAAATATTTTCTAGGTAATGTGGTAACTAAAAATGGCTTTGGCTATGAATTCTGGTTTGGTCAGATGAGTGAGAATCCCTCTATCTCTCTCTCTCTTTCCAGGTTTCTTTGGGGAAAGGAGAAACCTCTTTTTCCTCATTACCTAGAATAATCAAGAGTTAATTATTGGAGAGGTCTTCTGCATTTCGCTTCTGTACTGATCTACTGTCTGCTTTCTCTCTCTGCCATGTGTCTCTGTGGATTGGTGCTAACAGAAGGCATGTCCATGCTTCGCAGAATTAAGGCGGCAAATAGCTTTATAACAAACCAGGATCCTTTGCAATGATTATGATTTTTTTGAACTGCAGTGACAATCCTTATTATTTCTTCCTCTTCTATACTTTCAGGCTAGATCCACAACAGGCAGTAAGTTTAGCTCCCAGCTTAAGCCTTTTTTGATGGTTAGATGAAGAGATGGAGCCGGGGGAAATACGCTCTTTTATAATCTTAAGTTGTCCCCTTTCCCCAGCCTTAGTGCTTTAAACTCTGTTTAAAAAAGTGAAGAAGTTTGCCGGGTGACCTCAAGAATCTTCAAGGCAGTTTGTTAATTTTCAATGCATTTACTTACTTGAAGTGCATGGCTTCAAGGCTTCATGCTTTCCCTGAAAAGAGTTGAGATCGTCAAAGCAGCAGTTGTAGTTGTGTTGGTGTCTTTTTTTTTTTAATAAATCTGTACACTGGCATGGTACCGTAGTTTCCATACTTTAGCTCATCCACAAATGTTGAGTAACTCTTCTGACCCTTCTCAAAAAAGGTAATATTTTTTGAGGAAACATCAGCTAATTCTTACTTTGTAGTGCATATAATAGCATTTACAGCACCAGGGTATGGAAGCTTCTCTAAACCTGAATTGGCTAGAATACCTTAAACTCACAAAAGAGAAATACAGTTTCATTTACTCACTTTTACGTTATGCTTATGATGTAAAATACATTTATTTAGCTATATGCCTATACAGTTTTAAACATTGTGTCTCTTCTGCATCTAATGTGACAGAATGCAGCTAAAAAAGGGGAGGCAGATATAGCTCACAGTGGGCTTCTACTTCTGCAGTGTTGCTGTCTTTTTTTTCAGTTTGTGCATCTTCAAATGACTGACATAAGAATTGGGGAGAGGGACTTTTCAGTAATTACTAATCTAATCTCTGTCTTTTTACAGATTTCTGTTGGAGGCATAGAGTGGGATTACATTGCTACACAGGGCCCTTTGCAGAATACATGTCAGGATTTCTGGCAGATGATCTGGGAGCAAGGGATTGCCATCATAGCTATGGTGACGGCAGAGGAAGTGAGTATAAAATTAGTCAGGTTTCTCCCAGAACTTATGCAACGATTTTGTTATGATCTCTTAGAGGAAGGGGATCTTTGCTCCAATAAGACGACCAATTAAAGATAAATTTCTAGTGACCTCTTTGCCATTCTGTCTTGCTTTCCTTGGCAGAAAGATTTGCAAACCCTTTCCGCTGGAAAGTTGGTTTACTTAGTGAGAAATCTTAACACTGTAGTAGAACTTAATAGAGGAGAGAGATGGTTGTGACAGGAGCATTAGTTGTATGAGTGTTCTTATCTTTCTTGTTAAGCAAGTGTTTTACTTTTAAGGAAAGTGGGCGAGAAAAAAGCTTCAGATACTGGCCACGTCTTGGTTCAAGACACAACACGGTAACATATGGAAGATTTAAGATTACCACACGGTTCCGTACTGACTCAGGCTGCTATGCAACTACAGGTTTGAAGATTAAACATCTTCTGACAGGGCAGGAGAGAACAGTTTGGCATCTGCAGTATACTGATTGGCCAGAGCATGGCTGTCCAGAGGATTTAAAGGGATTTCTCTGTAAGTTGTATTTAATAGCCTTGTTTTGGGGTTGTTTTTTTGTTTGTTTTTTAATACCTCCTAAAATGACTGCTATACATGAATTAGCTTTTCATAAGTATGCCAAGCATTCTGCTGTAAAAGGTTTCTTCACACAAGCAAGAGATACTGAACTATATTTTTGGCAGGAATATACCTGCCAGTTTGTTAAAGTGACTGTTTATGTCTAAAGCCAAATACATAATTTATGAAAAGTTCATATAGATTAAAACATAACTGTATCACATACTACACATTTGAGTATGTTTCAGCAGTAGCAAGATGGCCACGAGTTGCCTTCAGTGGGGAACAGGGGAACAAGGCAAGGAAAGCCTTAAAAAAGTTGGATGATCTTTATAGACCTGTACTGCTTGAGTTGGGATATGACTGATTTATACAGTGTGTCATTTTTCTGTGGGATGTAATTTGTTAAATTAGTAGTTTTCTGGTGGTCATACAGCATAATAGCATGGCTTATGGGGCTTCATCTCCTAAATGTATTATTCTTATCTTGTTGAACCTAATAGCATACTTGGAAGAGATACAGTCAGTGCGACGCCATACGAACAGCACCGCCGATCCTAAAAACTGTAATCCTCCTGTACTGGTACATTGCAGTGCAGGTGTAGGACGAACAGGAGTGGTCATACTGTCAGAGATCATGATCGCTTGCTTGGAACACAATGAGGTGATCTCTTTTTCTTTCTCATGTTTTAAATAATGATAGGTAGTGGAAGAGTAAATAACCTAACATAAAATACTTTATGGCTGTTCATCTGAGCTTTTCCAAGATGTCGTCTTTGGAAGAGCCCTTACAACTATGGTTGAAAGACCTCTTGGTAGTTCAACACAAGTTAATAATCTCCTGGAGTTGCCTGCTTATACACTGTGTACTGGGATGCTCATTTGGATTCTTGATTCCATAAGATATTGAGTCACTGAGTGGAACGAGGTATGCCCTAGGCTACTGAGCATATTTCAGGATGTTGCCCTGACTTTACCACTTCATGCCTTAGTTTTAATGGATAATATTCAAGAACATGCTTTGTAGCCAGTCAATGGGCTTTTTATTATATACTTTGTTCCGAAGTGTAGTGTACTTCAGTATCGGTCTCAGCAGAGGACAAAGCAGTAGTTTGATAGAGGAAGACCCGGTCCTGTCAGCTTTTAGCCAGAAGTGAATAGCTGTAAAGTGCTTATTAATAATATAATATGCCAGCTGAGACTCAACAAACTGGTTGTTTCATTGTGCCTCCCTGTGCTAATACTGTGACAGACTTTTGTAGCCATTAGATTTGTGAAGACCCATATCCCATGAGATAGGCAAGTTTAACATTATGCATGTTTCACAGATGAGGAGGTAGTCATGATCAGTGGTGTAGTGCAATCCGTACTGCAGGAGTGGGCAATGAATTGTCAGAGCTGAAATGAGAGCAGCTGATTCCACCCTTAGATCACTGGTGCTGCTCTGAACCTCCTGCTGAGAAAGTGCAAGCCAGTCTCCTTGCTCACCAGTCACTTGTAATTGTTTGTTCTCTTCCTCCAGATGCTGGACATCCCACGAGTGCTGGACATGTTGAGGCAGCAGAGAATGATGATGGTGCAGACTCTTTCGCAGTATACTTTCGTCTATGGAGTTCTCATTCAGTTTCTCAAAAGTTCCAGACTTATATAATCCCTGACACTTCCTAAGAGACACTGCAGGAGCTTACAGAAAGAAAATTACAGTTGTCCAGGCAGACCTGCTCTCACTGGTGTTTTCTTCGTGTGATGAATCAACACAATTACCTTTTAGGGCTGGTATGTGACTGTTAAATGTGAGGCAGTGTAACAGTCTGGGCAAAGCAGGATCTTCGCTGCACTAAATTCTTCCCATGTTCAGCTGCAGTTATATTAGGGAATGGTTTTACTTGTACCAGTCTGTAGTACTTATGTATGTTCTTTAGAGTGGTGTTACTCTGGGCAAAATAAGTGTCTTGGGGAATGGAAGTATATGGCACAATTTTACTAACATTATGTTTTAAAACATAAATGTTAACTGTGCGAAAGCTAAAATCTTTATGTACATGGGGTGAGAAACCTGCTTTTGGGGAATGTTGAGGTCTTATGCAGTTTCATTCTGCTTTCAATTTTATATTTAGAACAATACATCTATATTTTTTAAAATTAACTTCTGGTTTCTTCTAGTTTACTCAGCAAAATTAGCAGCTCTTAGATATGTTAAGCTGTTGCTTTAAGGACAGTTATTTTTATATTCAGCATTTTTTAATTAAAAAACCCCAAAACACTACAATCCAAAACTTTTTAAACAGTGTAATATTTCCAGAGGAAAAGTCTGACAATGTTTGAACTAAGTTTTCAAAAATCATGCGGAAAGTACTAGGGGAGGCTATTGGTAGTTAGTTGTAGTGCCGTGTAATAGGACTGACAAGTGAAAGATGATGTTGATAACTTCCATTTGAGTGGATGCATGTTTACCTGAAACAAGCAGGGGAAAAATATTCTAATTATCTACAAGGTTACTGGAAACAGATGGATGAGAGAAAGTACGTATTCAGTATTATTCATATATTTAGAGGACAGTTTGATTTTACTGGCTGAAATCAAAGTGGATGCAAATGTTTTAAGCACTTTTTTTTTCTCTGTTATTTATGTAGTTAAACATAGAAACTATAATCATGCATTGTTTCATATGGTAATATACCATTACTAACCTGTTATTTTAGGAAGAGCCTTTTAAGTTGATGAAGTGAGAGATCCAAAATTGGAGTAAGAAGGTGCATAGTGGCGAAGTGGGAATGATAGTATAAAACATAATGGAGGAGGTGTGGCAGCTATGATTGCTGGTTTACACAGTGCAAAGATGACCATTAAAAATGTTTGTGTTCCCAGTCAAGAAAGCCTTTAAAGCACTGGAAGTTTCTGTAGAATCCTTCAGATTATTTTGTCAGTACTAGAACAGATTTTTGCTAATGCTGCGCAGTGTTGCAATGGAGAATATCCGCAGAAGCCATTTGAGGACACCTGCAAAATGTAAGAGCTCTTAGAGGTAACACTGGAGAGGTGGGTATTTTAGTAGCTATGTGGGTGAGTCAATGGCTGTGGCATGGATCTGAAGAGAAGTGATACCTTTGGTAGTTTCCATTTTGTCCCATGGGTCTGAGCTAATGATGGTATCCCTAAATAATCCTTTGTCTGTGGTTTTCAAATGGGGATGGTGTGGTTTTACCTGCCTTTTCAAGTATTTTGAGATGCTGAGTTGAAAATCCTAGTTCAAAAGTGAACTGTTAGTTTGTAGATAGCTGGTTTAATTTCAAAAAAACCCTGTGGTAGACCAGTCCGCAGGCATGTTTAAGTGTCCATTTCCCTTGATACCTGATTAGCAAAATGAAATGAGACTGAAAGTCATTTTTATCACTGGTGAACTTATGTTACTTTTTGGAGCTGTAACAAGGGTTTGGAAACTATTAGGAATAATTAAAACCCCTTCAAAACAATAACTGTCTCCCAAAACATTAATTAACAGTAATAAATAGGTTACCTCATTTTCCTCTGTAATAAGCTACTTCCACAAAGAAAAACACACGATCCAAATGACACTGTGCTAATGTGTCATTCTGTACAAAATGTATTACTTTAAAGTACACGGTTTAATCCAGTGCATTTGGTCTGCTTTCAGGCAGTCTGAAATATTCTACTTTCAGTAAAAGTCAGATTGAATATTTCAGATGGGTGGGAAAAAAATGTTCTTTTTGTAACTATAAAATGCCTAGGAAGTATTAGCTGCTGAATGTAAAACAGGAAGTCCAGAGGAAACCAATTACTGAAGACTGATTCCTTATATATATAATCTTGCAAACAAACCGATTTGATGTATCTGTGTTAACAGAAGTATTGAAAGAAACAGACATACTCAGCTATTCGTATCCTGCTGTGTCTTAAAACCATTGCTGCTTTTTGCCACAGTTCACTTCTGTCTTCAGAAATATTTTTGAATGGGGAGGTACGTTCTAAAATGTAGCTTGTACCATTTCCATTTCTAAACTTTGGGCTGTGATCTTCACAACCTGATACCTGCAGTTTTTAATGAAATTTTATACAACCACAACTTCAAGCAACAATTTCTAGCTGTTCAAACAGTTACTGGGACAGAACATCAGCTGTGAGGTGTTAAAAGGAGCAGTTACAACAAGCAATTTAATCCAAAATTTATGGAATTACCTGAGGTGGGTGAGGAAAATCTGTGTCTTTTGGCTTGCTTTTCTGTTTTGCTGAAAGAAGTTGTGTTCACTTTTAGAGGCGTTTGCTCTCTAATCTGGTAGTCACAGTCTTGATTTATTTTTTTTAAGCTTAACACTGCTACCTCCTCCACTTCAGCTTTCAATTCTGTCCATCAGCAATCTGTTTTTGCATTAATAGACTTGACTTTATGTGAGTTTTCCTAGTGAAGATAGCAGGCTTGCTTTTGTATGTAAGCATATGGCTCTAAGTGACCATTGAAAATGAACAGTTTCTCTTCTAAAGATACCAAACAAAAATAAACATCACAACCTTCTGTAACAAAATTAATTTTAAAAACATTGTTTAGATTTTCAGTGGACTTTTAAAAGAAAATTCAGTTTTTAGCACTTTGTTTGGAGCCTTGAAAAGGGATGCTTTTTTACATGTAGTTGTGCTGAGTGCTTCATGAAGTGTTGGACATTACAAGAACATCCACTGTCCAAATCCAGTCGGAGGTGGATTTATTTGTCAAAAGCTTGAAATTCCACTGTAAGCCTGTCTATTTTGCCAAATGTGCTTCTGTTCTTATGGGGATGAAACCAGATTATTATGCAAGATTTGAGCTGACTTTTTTTAGCAAGAGAGGTGATATGAAGACACTCTTGCAGTAAATGGCAAAGATGATGCTGATTTCTAGGGATGTCAGAGCTCTCAGGGATAAATAAAGGTGCTATATACTGTCAAGAGACAGATTTGACTGTCTTTTTGTGGGTTAGGCGGAAAATGGTTTTTAGGATCAAATTCTATGAAGAGTAAGGAGAAGAACCCCCAAATTGTAGTACGGGCTTCTGCACATTTGATTTCTTTCTTGGTTGCTCTGATGAGAGATTTTTTGGCCAATGAATCTTTGTAGTCTTGGGCTGGAAGCTCTTCTCTAGAGAACGTAAATCAGAGTCCTGTTTGTTGCAAAGATGTCGCTGACTCCGCAGGCTTAGCTGTAGGCTGCAAATCACCCCACGCCCTGTTCTGTCAGGGAGAAGCTCCCTGGTGTACAAGGGAGTTTTGCATAGCTTTTGCACAGCAGTTCTCTCCTTTTTCTGCTGTTCCCCATGAAGAGCAGGAAAAGTTTCATGCCTTAGTATTGCTCTCATTGTGATACCTTTTACATAAGTGAATGGTAAAAACTACAAGTGCAGGGTGCTATGGTTTATATCTAGAAATAAGTTTAATTCAAAGCAGGTGAGCAAGGCAAGGTCCTATAATTTTTGTGGATGAACAGCTGCTGTATGTTATCATCAACATTTAGGGAAAAAAAGGTAAAATAAAGTAATAACAAATAGAAGTAAAAGAAATGTGTATTAAATGGAAAAAAAATTCTTGGCATTTTGAGAAATGTATTTTTGGCTCTTCCTGTAATCCTGGGTATCTTTTTTTGAAGTGGATGACATTTGGAGCAATTTTCTCCAAAAATAGCTTCTTAAATTTACTAGGTAGGACTACCTGAGGCTGCTGCTACATTTTTCTTGTTGGAACAGCTGTTAAAGTTGAGTGGCTTTATAGATTCCAATGGCCTCTGGACCAAACTTGGGAACTGCAAAGTCGTTTATCATACAAGCTAGCTGTGTAATGAGACCTCAGTTTTAATATCAGTAACCATTACGAAAATCCTGGACTTAAAAATACTGAACTCATTACTGTATTTTAATAGTTAGTTCAAATTATTAATTTAAAAGAAACAACACTTCAATTGCTAAGAACTCTGTGCTTTAGGGTTTGGGGTTTTTTCAATACTGCAGAGTCATGCAGTGCCAGAGTTCAGTCCTGCAAGATGCAAAATTCCTGCAGTTCTTCCTGATATTGTAGGAATTGAAATGGGCTTATTGCCAATGAAAGCTTGAGCCCTTAAAGCATGAACACTCACATGTCTGCTTTAAATTTAAATATAGCTTACAAGAATTAACCAAAAGAATGCAGCAGGA